AATAAACACCCTGGGTAATTCTGATTTAGGGTGTTCATGCTCCATACTTTGAGGGGTACTTGTATGCTAGAGTCAGAAGCAACACTGGGGAGGTGGGATAAGCCTTTACTTAGGGATGGAATCAGGAAAGGCTAGACAATGGAGGTCATGGTATGGACTCTGGGTTTTGAAGGGTGCATAGGAGTTCAACAGGAAGGGAAAACAATTGCATGTGTAAAGACACAAAGTTATGGATCATTGTGATATGTTTGGAACATTAGGTTTTCCACGTTATTGGAAGTAGTTAAAAGGTTGGGTGGTTGGAGAAATGCTGTGGGCAATGACCTTAGAGAGTAGTCATTTGAGGACAGCACTTGTCCATCACTCAAGAATTTCAGTGAATAAGTAAGTCAGATTGACTTGGATAAAAAGGAGGGGTTGATTAGAAGAAGTTTCATTTTGCAAATTAGCCATGGTGGTGATAAATAGAAACTGTCATCACCGGGCTCATTAATCATGATGTCAAATTCTGCACTGATAACCACTGTTGGACAGCTTTTGGAAGAATTCAGCTTTGACTCTGGCGGGAGGGGCTATTTAGATTTAGCAACAAGTTGAATTAAGAATGTGAAGTCTCGCCCCGGCTGGTTTGGCTCAGGGGTTAGAGCCTCGGCCTGTGGACCAGAGAGTCCTGGGTTCGGTTCCTGCTAGGGGCACGTGCCAAAAAAAAAAAGAAAAGAAAAGAAAAGAAAAAAAAGAATGTGAAGTCTCCCCCTCCTCCTCTTGGAGATATCTTCCGAATAAGGTGGGCCTTTACTCATATCCGCGTTTTCCCAACATTTGGATATTTTAGATATTGTATGTTTGGGGAGTAATTGGGTAATGCCTCAAAACTCCTTCTAATCCATGAAGAGAAGGGATCTTGGGAAACACAAATGTTCGTGTTTTTCCTTTTGGTCAGCCCAAATAAAATCATGCATGTGGTAGAGAAGGCAGTGGCCCCATAGTAAAGATAAATAAAAACATTTCAAGCAGAGTAAGTGACATTCTTCTTGCATTGTGTTAGGTCAAGAGGATGTCCCAAGTGAAATTGAGCAGGAAGAAGATTCCACGTGAAACCTAATTCATAGTAGGATGAAATGTTATGGTAACTGGTAGATTCCATGAATCACCTGACCCAACAGGGGAAAGAAAGAGGATTCTTTGGGAAGCCTGGCTGGTGACATGACGTTGGTGAGGCAAGAGGAAGGGACGATTAACGCAGCCGGAATCCGGCTAATTGGCATAGACCTTCAGGAGTCAGCTTTCTTTTAAAAATTGTCATTTCTCTGAACTCCCATAGATATTGCTTATTTATTGCAGTATTAGTAGACATTTTTTTAATGCTAATTAGAAACTGCTCTGAAAAAGAGGTATAGAGTCCAACAAAATGTTCTTCAGATATCTTTGCAATGGAAGACTATGCCTACTGCGGCTGCCCCATTGTTATTGGAGCAGAGTTTAGCAGAAATCTATATACGTAACGTAAACATGGATACTTGTCAAGGGAGAAGGGAGCCTGTTCTTGTGTGCTTGTGGCAAGCAGATGGGAACTCACTTAAAAACCCTTTGTGGGACACACTGGAATATCTCTCAGCAACATTTTCCCTTTTAGGTACACTCACCAGAAAGTAGTATAAAAAAATGTAAAAGATCGTTGAGCATCTGGACATAGCTGAGAGAGCCTGTGTTTAGATGAATGGACGACAGACTGAGTAGTGGGTCATGATGGGTGGCCAAATCCTTTGAAACACAGTAGCCCTATTGTGTATCTAAGAGCTACTAAATTCAAAGCAATGCATGGCTTGTATGCTTCTGTAAATATACATTAGCCTTGAAGCAAACAAGAAATTTTGCCAACTTTTATTATTATTATTTTTCCTTAGGGCAGAAAGAAAGAGATGAACCCCCCCCCTCCCCCAAAGTACCCGGAGAACCTTCTTCTGAAGCTCTAACTTCTTTTCCTTGCAACATTGTTTTTTAAAGTTGCAGTGGTCCCCTGCGCGAATGAATGTGGGTTTTTATCCCCAACACAGAGGCCTGCTGTCTGGTGCAGCTACTCTTTCCGGCTTGATTGGCAGGGCTTTCTGTCTCGCTCCCATTAGAGAAGAAATACTATTCAGATTTCGACATAAGATATTACCCGTGGAATAAACAGTGCCGTTTTCATGATACACGTGGATGTTGAAGATTAAGGTTTTATTTAAGCCCACTGGTGAGCAACATTCCACTTGAATTAGGAGGCACTCTACCGGAAACAATTTTATCAACTGAATTTTGCTCTTTTCCAAGCTTTTCCTACTGAGCATACAGAAGCACAGTGTCTGCAGAGATATTGCTGTGACCTTCTGTTATTAGCAGAACTCAACACACCCAGTAGTAGCCTCTTGCAGAAGTCGGGGTGCAGGACGAGAAGGGTTGTGTGAAACAAAGAGCCACTCTGGGAACGGCAGGGGGCGCTCTAAGACCGGCTGCAGTACGGCAGTGTGGCGGCACAGGGTGAAGGCAGAGAGGCTGTCAGACGGCTCCCCTGCTCCCCCACTGCTTTGCTTTGGTTTTCTAAATGTAGCAAAGGAAAAAGAAAACCATCCGTCAGAAACAAAGGGACCTCGAGAACCGAATCTATGCAGCTGAAGAATTTAAAGCAAAAATTCAGGGGACCCAAGTGAGGAACCTCCAAGTCTCATAGAGGTTGGATGTCAATCATTTTGCAGCTGTCAGGCCAAGGGTCTCCTCTTGACCATCTGCAGGCCTGCGTCCCAGTCCTCCATCCCTATTTGGTCATCGAGATTTGGCCACATCCGACAGCACCGTAGGCTTCCTGTAGGAAGACTCCTGGCCCACACCAAAGTCATCACGCTTAGCAGAAATAATGCTGCTTCTCAAGCATCCTGCATGGGTATTGCTAACTTATGCACCGCCCCCCCTTTCCTGTCTACAACAGGGGTGCAATGAGGGAATTGGGCTAAATGGCCTCTAAGTGCTAAGGTTATGTGTGTTCATAAAATCAGGAGTGAGAGGTTAAGGCAATAAACCAAAAAAGTCAACCCCAAAGCAAGATTTTTAGTGCCAAAGTTTGAGATAATTGAGGCAGAAAAAAATTTTCTTCTTCTTCTGAAATCCTGATGAACAGATTTCTTGAACTTTTACTCTGTGGTCAAAAAACAGCTGAGTTGATTAGATTATATCTGAACTGGCAGTTTTTTGGTTTTTGGGGTTTTTTTTTGCTAATGGCTGATTTATAAGTTAACAGTAGTTTCTTCAGTTAGGTCAGAGCCACAAAATATTGTTTGGTAAACACATAAGTTACACTTACATTTGCTCTTTTGTTCTCAGAACAAAATTTCAATATATATCTGTGTGTTTTTGGAGGGGGGGTAGTCCCCTATAATTGGTCCTAATGAGAGCCAGGTTTGTCCTCTAGAATGAAAAGGAAAATGTTCATCTGTGTTTCATTCATTGGCCTCAGTGATGGGCAGGATTGGACTTGGACCAGAATACGTGGACAGATGTAAAGACCAAGAGGGGCCCCGATGAGAGCTGACTGTGGATAGTCAGTTATCTTACAAGAGCCCACGTGCTCACATGATGCTGCGGCGAAGGTGTGAAGGCAGAGGCGGCAGGTGAGCGCAGATTCATCCAGGACTCGCAGCCGCACCTGTGGGGAGAAACCACGCAGCTCTTGGTACGGACTCCCTGCCCAGCAGGCACGATGCAGAGGGAGCCAGTTTTGTCGAATAAAGGAAAGTGTATTATACTTCAGGCGAAGACGAAGACATTCCTCCAGTCTGGACGAAAGCTTTCTCTCTCCCTCCGGAGGTGGTGTGCTCCACACTTCTACACGGGGAGGTCAACAGGGCCCATTTCCCCTTCGGTATTTGTGCCAACAATTCAATAAGTTCCTTGCAGGCACGTTTTGAAATCCATCGGTCCCCCCAGTGCCTACTTTGCATGGGGACCTTTGCGAGCAGAGTTGCTGAAAGGCAGATGTTGAACTTAAAGTCCACACCGAATGTGTCCCCTTTAATGCATCATTACAGCTACAGAAACAAACAAACCGAAAAGAGGTCCTTGCATGAAGTCACAACTTGGCTCATGCGAGGTGCTGAGCCCATTCCCAGCTCTAATGACTGGATGCTCACCACCAATTTGATCGAGGCCGCTGGGACAGGGCTGTACCAACTGGGAGCGGAGACCGTGAACTGCTCAGCTCATTAAGCATGAATGTGCTAAGCACCGGGACTCACATTTAGTGCAAATCTCGGGCTGCTCCTTAGGTCTGGCCTTCTGAGTTTCAGAAAATATTTATTTATATTAATATTAATGCCACTTTCTCTTTGGGTCTCTTATAAAAAAGTTCTGTATGAGGGCAGCATATAATTCCATGGGATTACTGAGTCAGGATCTGCAGACCTAGGGCAAAGCAGTTAGGTGGATCAGAACCACACAGAATCCCATTTCCGCGCACGTGGGCAGAGTTGCATTGGGGAGAGCTCGCTTGTTTGGGGTGGTGGGGATGCTCATGGTGTTGGAGTGGGTGACGCAGTATACGATGTGGTTGAAATCTGTGTTTTTCCAATTATTGTTTAATCTCTCTGAGCCTTGGCGTCTTCATCTGTAAAACAGGAGCTCTTGACATTTTGCTCGAGAGTTGAGTGAGAAAAATATCGGCAAGGTCCCTAGAGCACAGGACATATTCCATAGTGGGAGATGTTTGTTTTCTAAGATATGCTCTGGAAAGCTCTCTTCTTCATAACTGTACTTCCAAAGAGCTGTGAAGAAAGGGGACTTAGTTTTAGATGATGATTGAGGTTCTCTGGAGTGACTGGGACAGAAACACTACTCATGAAACAACGGATGAAATTCCTTTGTTCCTTCAAACTCTCAATTATCCGCCTTTCTCCTCTTTTCAATGCCCTCTCCTCAGGAATCCAGTTTCCACAACACCTATTTCTTCAAGATTCTTCACTCATACGTTTATAAGTAATAATAATTCAATGCATCAGTCTTCCTGGGAATGTGTTGTTATTAGCAGATAGCAAGTCTACTGCTAAGAAATACAAAGTGAGTGGGAATTTCAAGACTTGGCCAACGTGTGGAAATGTATTTTTTCAGGGTACAGGGATTTTTCAATTTTCTTGAAATTAAATTTGTAGGCAATGCATGAAATAGTAAATCATCACAACTTTAAATAATTGATCACACTAGTCACCTATCTAGAAAGGCTATCAGGAAAGAAACATCCGTAGTCACCATGCATTTTGTTTTCCAAAGTTTTTCAGTGATACATTTCGATAGGCCAGGAAGCATGGGCTGAGGAGTCCAAAAGTCTTGAGGCACAGCCCCTGTGTCGCGAGCTCACAGACTGGGGTGACACAGAGCAACAGGGGAGCATAGATGCACCAATAACTGGGAGGAAAAGTGGGCATGACCAAGCGTAAGGTTATTGAGGGGCCAGCACCAATGGCCCAGGCCGTTGCCTTGGATCATATCAGGTATAACTGGAGAACTGAGCATTTCCTCTGGGGCCATGTATTTGCTGGTGGACGATGAACTGAGTCTACCTTATTTTTTTTTAAATATGTTTTTATTTATTTTTTTTAGAGGAAGGGAGAGAGATAAAAACATTGATGTGAGAGAGAAACATCCATCGGCTGCCTCCTGCATGGCCCCTACTGGGGATCGAACCTGCAACCTGGGCATGTGCCCTGACCGGGAATTGAACCAGGACCTCTCACTCCATGGGACAATGCTCAGTCCACTGAGCCACACCTGCCGGCCTGGATCTACCGTTTTAAGATGTGATCCGACCAGAATAATTTTTTAAGCAGGAAATTCTCTGAGAACGTGAGCAGTTATAGAGTCGAGGGCTAATCTGTACGACCTCTGTTTAACCTTGGGACTATTTATGATTTTAAACTTTTTCATTGCCTAGGTGAATAGGGGAAAAGTCTTCTATTTCCACTCTTATATCCTGCAGTATGCTAATTGCAGGAAGAAGGCTTCTACAGTCCACCATTAAAAGCAGTAAAGAAACTCTATCCATGACATGAAACACGACACCCGGCCCAGGTAAAATTGAGTTACAGGCTCACAGGATTGTGGCCTTTATTTGAAGTTGTCAGCTGTGCTATTGTGGGTTAACTGTTCTGAAAGCATACATTTTTCCCCCCTAAGCAGTAAAGCTGTTTCTGTAGTCTCATTTTATTTAATAACTAAGCCATGCTTAAATATAGTCTGTGGGTGAAACTGTTATAAGTTGGCATTTATACACTATGGTTTTGTGCTAGGAAACCTCAGTTAAAGAAAAACACTTGCAAGAACGCCAGCTAATGTCCCTACCCCAGAGCATATACATGGGCTCTCAGCATCTTACTCCGTGACACCATATGACGCAAAGAAAATAGGATGCAGTGTATAAGGTAGACCAAACAAACTCCAAGCACCATGGGATCCAACTCAAAGGCTCCAGGTTTTTGATAAAAATAAATTCTAAAGTCATGTACCTCCATGGAAAGTACTGTGTCATGACTGTGAGATGTACAGTCCAGACTGAAGGTCTTACAGTTGGAGAGAGAGAACACAGAGGTTGAACTGAAGATGCTATCATGGTCAGAAACACACAGACACTTTGGTTACAGACTTACAGGCCACTGTCTTTGTGAGTACATGGACTTGCTGAGTCAGTGGACTTCTGTTCAGACGCCCAAATGAAGAGTCACAGGTGACAATATCTGTAGCTGGATGACTTTTCCTATTGCCTTCCAATGGGGCTTATGGCTGAGAACAAAGAGACAGTAAGCATTTCATTTCTGCAAAGAAAAACCAACAGCTGGGACCAGAAACCTCCTTTAGGGATTCTAGATGCTGCTGCTACTTCCTTCTTGTGACTCTACCATCTTGTGATGTCAAAGTCCTTCTGGCAAGACATGTCACTGCCACTCATATGTCATCAGCCAGAGTTAGTCACGTGGTCAGCCTAACGGCAAGGAGTCTGCGAAATGTAGAGAAGTGTGTGGAAATTTGTGAGAAGCAATAGTCTTTGAACGTTAAAAGTTACCAACCTTCATGGCAATAACCCAAGCGCCGGTTGTGTTTTAGGAGAGTAGTAGTACGTGACCTATCACTCACGGATGTGCTCCCCTATCCCACGACCTGCTCTGGAAGCATGGTAGTATTGTGCAAGCTAAGAGGAGCAATGAGGGGCACCCCAAGGCTTCCTTTCATATTCTCTTCCCTCCTATCAGCCTCGTGTTGCCGCTGGGATTCCTCAGAGCAGACGAGCAAGAGCGAGGCCTGAATAATGAGGAGGGGTCGCCTTTTTAGAGAAAGCGGCTCTGGTCAGTGCCTTCTGGGTAAGCTCTCCAAACTGGGAAAACCGGACCCGGACAGTAGGGCAAGGAGACTGCCTGGGAGACTAAGTGCAACGTGCCGTTGGGAGTCGACTCTTTCAAGGCTAATGCCCAAGAACTAGAACTCAATGACAGTGATGGTGAGACCCGCCTCTGTGGTGACCACAACAACCCCACCAGGCCTGTAGGTCAGGTTCCCTCTCGGGGAGTCTGAGACTGAGTGACGCGAACTTGTCTGAAGTCATTACCCTCAGATTTTGCCACCAAAATAATCATCTATTCACTACATCTCATGCCGTCACCTGGAGGGTAAGGCCCGGGCCCGGCTCCGTCACTGAGTCTTGTATTTGGAGGAGCAGAGCGTAGATTAGGAGGGGCCCCAGCTTCCAATTCCTTGGCTTTCGCGGTCCGGCCGTCCCCTCTGAGAACATGGGGAGGTGACATTGTTAGCAGTTACGGAACTGGGACTTTCTGGAAAAGAGAAGCAAGATTAAACCTGGGAGGGCCCAGGGTTAAGTAGCAGAACCTTAGTTCTGAAAGCCCCCTTCTCTCTTCCTGCCTCTGATTGCTGCCGAAAGACAACAAAACCAGTTTGGAAGCTATTTTCCCTCCTTATTCCAAAGAAGCAGCGAACATTATTAATGAATAATGTGTGGGACTTTCCACATTGATTGATTTAATGGACATCTCTGTTATTTTCATAATATTCATTTTGAAAATCAGTCCACGTAGTTTCTACGGATCCCCTCCTTGTCAAATAAAAAAAGGTTTTGTGCTAAAAAAGAAGCAAAGAAGCAATTCTTCAGATCTTACTGTTTTCTATGCCGGGCCAGGACACATGAAACAATTAGGAGCAAGAGGGGTTACCAAGTATTCAAGGACTATTCGATGAACATAGTTATATAAAGTGAACTTTAGGGAGCATCTTTTTTTCCCGAGCTCTCTGTGCATTTAAAAAATACCATCACCTTCATTTTGCATCTCAGCTCAGGAGTCTAAGCAGCCACCAGGCGTCACTTGCGATTGATTCTGTGTCCTCTCGGGTTTCTGCTTCTGTTCCCTGCGGAGCATCACAACGTGAAACAGCAGCGGACCGTTGGGTCCATGACCTAAATTCCAGTTTAAAATCTCCCCTCGATGTCTCCCCTTTATTTTTTAATTTTAGGGTTGAAGCTCAAAGCCTAAATTTTGCACGAAGTCTCCCCGCAGTCCAGAGGTTTAAAGACACAGGTGCAAACTCGCGGACTTCCCGACTTGAAGGTCCCCTTCCTCCTCGCCACCAAGCCTGAGAAGGGTTAATGAACTGCTCAGCGCTCTGCTCTCTGCCCCGTGTTCGGTGGTAACCTACACCCAGGGGAACCTCCCAGACCTCACTCAGCTTTTCCATCGCTGATATTTCTGGTGCCCGAAACAAAATAAATATTTTGGGGAAGAGCAAATCCCAGATCTGAAGATGCCCGGGGAGGGCGGGCCCCATGGAGCGCTGGCCCGGCAGCCAGGCTAATGGAAATAGACGGGCTTCTGTAGGAGGCCAGGACGAGACGAGGGAGAGGGACGCTCCGAATGAGATCATGACTTAAAGAAAGTGTGGTTTGGCCCAGGGAGCAAGAGCTGTGCTCCCTAGAGAGAGGGGAGCACTGGATCCGTGGGGAGCTGTGGGTCACCTCTCAGATGATGATCCTGACTGTCGACCCGTTCAAGGTCTACTTCCAGCAAATAACGATGGCTGGGTTCAGAAAGTCAGGAGGCTGTCTATGTACACTGGATATAGGTGAAAAGTTTTATGATAAATATTATTGCCAAAATGGGAAGAAAGGAGAGCTAACGTGGATGCTCCTGCCGCGTGCCATGCTGAGCGAGGCCGTGCAACATGGGAGGGCGGGTGGGCATTTCAGCCCCACGAGCACCCTAAGATATATTGGGGGGAAGAACTGCCCAGGTCAGCCCTATCAACCCACAGACTCACGAGAGAGACACTGTATTTGTAATCCACTGAGTTTTGAGTGGTTTATTGTAAAGGCATAGATACCTGATGTCAAGTCTCTTCAGCAATGAGATGTCATAGGAAGCCAGTCTTTAAAGAACAGGTGTTTTGTTGTGCTGGGTTCACTAATAAGTGATCCCTTCAGACACTTGGTTGTGAGACAGATGATGTCTCCTCTTTCCTCTGAAGAAGAGGGGTCCCAAAATACTTCTTAGGATGATGTCCATATTTGTACTGTAACCAGTTCTAATGAATATTTATGCGCAAGGTTTTACTCCCCATTCTTGTCCCTAGGTCTTGTTACGTCCTGCTTGTGCTGTGGGGTGGTTCTAGGTGAAATGTCTTGGGTTCAGAAGTGCCAAAAAGATGTTTCTAGTATTATTCTAGGGGCTGCACCAAATGCAAGTCCAATACTGCATGGTCCCCTCTAATAACCCCCCTCCCCCTTATGCCTAGCTTTAACTCTGCTCGTCCAAGAAGGACAAGCAAGCCAACGTGTGGCCTTGATAATCTCTGCTCCTTTAACTTTTTACAGGTCCGTGTACAGCGTTGGCAAGCAAGTCAGAGCTCGCAACTTCCCCTTTGATTGCAAAACACACAGAAGCTTGCTTCTGACTGGATTATTGTTTTTCCATACACAAATGGCTTTTCTTTGCAAACTGTGCTCAAGGCAAACAGCCAACACCAACCGGATTCTCATGCTTTCGTGTCCACGGTTCTTCCCTATGGAGAACCACTTACTAGACAAAACCAGGCAAGATAGAAGGTTTCTCATACGATCACTGCCAAGCCGATTGCAACATATTTATTAGCAAAGTGATGTTTATTTAAAAAAATAAGGTGAGACTATTATACTATGTCACAGACACACTGCATTTCCTATGTTACCAATACATTTCATCTTCTTCCCCAAACTCAAGCTTTTTATTCTAATGGACTTCTAATCTGTAATCTTTTATAGAAGCCAGCAATTTCTAACTTCACCAACACTGGGGCAAATCATCTATTTTAGGTTTGGAATCATCCCTTATAATTTTTTATTCCGGACATGCTGAAGAGGTTCTTTGGATTTATCATTTGATATTGTTTAATCCCAGCATTTGATTTCAACCCTTGGCAGGTTGTAGTAGGGATGGTGATGATATTTATATATTTCTGGCCTTTTTTTTTTTTTTCCCCCCCAGTTTTACCGTGGTCACAGCTTCCTGGCTGATGGTCATCAGGGGTCATGGCTGCAGAGAGGCATTTATTTCCAGTGGGATGCTCTTGTCATCTATTACTCTTTTTTCAGGATCGGAGAGGAATTCACATTGAGTGGTCACTCAGAGGCAGACCCTATATTTTAAAAGCATTATATGAATAAAGACGACTCACTTGGCACCCCTCCGAAAAGTGTTCATCAACTGTGATTTTCAGCCCCAGAAAATTGGTCTCCCTGGAATTAGTGTTCCGGGAAGAACAGAACTTCAAGTTCTGAATGGATGATCCCATTGGAAGTCAAGACATCATGGTTTTAAGTAATTCTGAAAATATTTAATTTGCATGCATCCAAACCTCATGCAATCATATTGCTTGAAGAAACAATGCCAATCTCTTACTGTATGTCCTGTGGTGGTGGTTTTCCGGGAAGATTCCGGGCCCCAGCTGAGAGCGGTATTTCTGACATGCTGATGTCCATAATGAAGATGTCCTTAAAAAATAAAAGACCTACGGCAACAGGATTATACCTACACGCC